TGGCTCAAGCTAATACTGATCAAACAATCCATCACCCTCGAATAACTCGGCTTTCCACGCGATGCGCGTTATACAGAGGGAGAGAGAGAGAGAGAGAGAGAGAGAGAGAGAGAGAAGAGAGAGAGAGAGAGAGGAGGAGGAGGAGTAGAAGGCAAGTAAGTTTCGCACTCTATCAGGAGAGAAGAGGCCACGGGGTTTCCCCGGGGCGGGTGCTGTGGCGAAGTTCGAATGGCTTGTTAGCCGGAGGGTTCGCATCCGCAATTGAAGGGGGGAGGGGAGGGGAGGGGCAAACTCGCGGGGGTGATGGACTAGTTATATCACTACGTAGGACGCGCGCGCGAACCTGTAAACCCGCTACTACGGCGAACCATAACTGGCCCGTCACTAACTTGTCGGGGCACCGGGGCTACTGACGAGCCGTTGATTCATAAATCAAACCGCGCGGCTAGGCTCGGCTCGGCTCGGCACCGCGGCAGCAGTCACGCGAAGGTGCCAGCCGCGCCGTTTAACGCTGCCACTGATTCTAACGCCGTTGCAGTTAGTTCGGTCCGATGCGCGGCCGGAAATCCATGTTTCGAGCATTTGATCCAACATGGAATATACTACAGTCTGCGCGAATGCGGGCTGTCCCGGGATACAGCACGCGGCCGTACACGCGTCGAAGCCGCGAGATTTCGTTGTATCGAACGAGCTCGACTCGCTCGGAGAGTATGGTCTAGAAAATGCAACGTTGGCCTATGAATAATTGAAGAGCCAGGAAGAAAAATTAATTAGATCGCAGCTGATCCATCCCCGCAATCATATTGCACTGTGGCGTTAGTCGCGAAAAAGTATATGTAATTTTTGATCGCATATAGTCTGAAATTAGCGTTTCTGCATGCCGCACGACTCATTTAATAAAGAATATGCAACAATGATTTTTCTTTTCGACTTGTAGATTAATAAATGACTGGGTATTTTTGATGAAAAGATGTTGAGAGAGATCTGCTTTTATTAAGTACTAAAAATTTTTTAAAATCACAGATTTTAATATAAAAGTTAAAATGTAAAAAAAACTAGTGTATAAAAATCAAATTAAACCATTTTAAATAATGTATGAAAATTTATGTATTGTACCTACAAGTGAAAAAAGTTGAAAATAAAGATGTAAAATGTGTCTACAAACAGTTATTACGATAGATATAATTTTACGCTTAAATATAATTTTAATTACTATGAAACGCTACACTCTCTAATCATTTTCATATCATATGTGGGATTTTACGTAATGTAGCTAAATATATTTGCAATTTCTTCGGACCAAATCTCGTTGAGGACATTACATAAATTGCTAAATTCATACTGAATACTACATTCTCTCCCTTACAGCTTGCGCTGTGTGTATCTGCGATGTTGCTTTGTAGTTTTCACAGAAGGAAGTGATCTTGCGTCAGTTACACCAGTGTGCAAGCGGACGCCGTTAGGAAAAAAAAGCGAGCACGGCCGCTTCTAAAGCAGCTCATAAACAAGTTACGTTGTAAAACACGTTCATTTCTGTGTTAGCTGTGCAGTCTACAACGGACGGTAGTCAGTAAAATAGAGCTTCTTACGCGAGTCTTCTGGTTCTAACTTCATATACAAAGTGAGACCCGACGAACACGCCGGCACCAGTGCACTAACTCTTTTAACGCGGTTGCGACTTCGAAGGAGGTTAAACGTCCTCCCTAGCGCTATAAACTTACTGGCTACACCTACTACAAACAACAGAGGGCGACCACCGTGAAATAACGTTGTCTGGGTTAAAATGTTACTCTTTTTTAAGCATTCTTTTTCGGAAAAAAAAGGAGACGTAAAATGCAAAGTGAAAAATAATCTAATCGAAATTTCTTTCGAGCCTAACTCAACTTCTGGTTTTTACAAATCAAACTGACCTAATTCTCAATAAATAAAATGTATATATTTAAAATAAGATCTTTTAAACAATTTCTAAGGAAATATACAACTGTTATAATATTAAAATAATAAAGCAAATAGAAAAGGCGTAAAAAATAGTTTCGGTTTACTATTTTTATAGCTAGATATCAACTTTATCGATTGGCAGTTTTTCGAATCTATTCAAAGCTAAATATGACATATAAAAAAGATTTAAACTAAACAATCTTTTTTATCTTTTTTATCTTTTTTATCTAAAACGTCCACAGAACATTTTTTTATATCAGTCAATATTAATAGAAATAGAATGGTGGTAAAAATTATTTTAGTTTTATAAACATATACAGTAAAGTGAAAATGTTTTGTGAAATTTCCTATGAAACGATTCCTGTAACAGGTTCACAGGAAGTTGCATGTAACGAGACACGCGCAGAAAACAGCACAAGATCTATCAGTAAAAGCAGACAACGAAACAGCCTGCAACGAGCATTGCTGCAAACATGCACAGCAGTAGGCAAGGTAGCTTGTCAAGGAATCCAGCAACAAAACGCGCTTTGTGTGCCGTGAGCGTAAAGCTCGTGTTCTGTTGCCTCGTATACTCCGCAGGTTGCAATTCAGGTGTATCGTAGATTAGATTTTTTTAGTCTAATCTGCATAGCAATCTTAAATCAATTATGTTATACGCGCTTATCTTCTAGATGCGACAGTAAACCCGCAATGAGCTCTATTTCGTACTCTGCAAAGCAACGTGGGGAAACAATGTGCGTGCCTTTATGTCCGCGGTCTTCCGCCCTCCCTCGCGTGTCCCGAATATCGCGAAAGCGCGCGAACGATGCAATGAATAAGTGAGTCTGGCAGTGACATGAAATTTTGTCTCGGAGCCTTTTCATTTCCAAGTTTCCGTTCGCCGTGGCCGGAAATAAACTTTTTACCAACGACGTCAACGCCTCGAGACTCTAGAGTACACCACGAGTATAGAAACGTCCGCTAAGTACATTTTTTATCGAAGCCGTGGTAGCGACGCGACTGACGAAAAAGATTGACGCCGCGCTGAGATGAGAGAAAATTTAACAAACGGATAAACACAATGCACTCTATGTAAATATATATCTTGTTTTGTAAAAGACTCAGTTTTAAATAGAACAATGTATTCCGATATATATATATATATTTTTTTTTATCAAAATTTGATCGAACGCTGATTTTTTAAGTTTCAATATTGAGATGTTAATGTAAATCTTAATAAGTAAAAGTCGAGATCGACATTTTTGAATTCTCTGTCACCGAACAACCCGCCATAACAGCGGATAATATCGTGTTGCGACCTTTGTCGCGCACAGGAATGTGTCGCGTTCTTGCATCAAAAGTTACATCGTTAGTAGAACTTCGAGTTTAAATAATAAACGACTCGCAAGTGTAACAGCGTGATTGGATAAACGTATCCACACTTGATAGAACTTAGTCTCAAGACGCATTCGTTTCCGTAATGCTCCTGTTTCCCAGTAAAAATAAACTTTTTGTGACACGGACTTCGAACTGTCGGGCTCACCTTGCGTATATCGGGTGAGCAGTCAAGCATGTATTAAATGTCTCTCTGTTGACTTTGAATATCGCGCAGGCGATTGCATAGGACCGGTATTTCGTGGTATTTCGCCGATTCTCATGTGACAATTCTTAAGACGCAAGATCAAGAATATTGTGAGCATTGAAAGAATATTTGAAAGATAAGAATATTTTCATCTTTTATGAATAGTTGAGAAAAGGTGAAATATTATGTACACAAACAGAATAAGAATAAACAGAATAAGAAATTTTTTTAACAAAATGTACAGTACGAAATTTAGGATTATACAAATAATAATATATATAAGATAAAGACAATTTCGTTCTTCCCTCATTTTAAAACATGTATGTAATATAAGACGCTCCGAGCGATTGCTTCGTCGATAGCCCGCACCTTGAAACGATCCTACGTCAAAGGAATAACACGCGAGCACCTCGAAATAACGTTGTACGCTTGACAAACACTTCGGAAATTTCTTTGAAACTTCGATCATGCTGCACTTCGGCACGAAGCAAGTTTGAAGTTTCGATCGGCGACGAAAGCGCAAGGTTTACACGGCGAGAAGATTTAACAGAGTTATCGTACATCGATTACCGTTGAAAATACGAATGTGTAGAAATGTTGGACACAAAACGTGATATATTTATCTGATATATTAATATCTTCAAAAAATTTATTAAAATACTAAAATATTTTTTTAATAAAGTGTTTTTCCTGCAGTTTCATATGATTGTAGATATAACTTTAATCTCAATAATCGTGTGCTCATCCTACATTAAAACGCAAACACTAGCAACTTTTCTCGCTAACCCAAAGAGACTTGTCCCAGATTCGGTATCAACTTCTGTGTACGAAAAGAGCGTTCATTAAACAACGACGTTCGCATAGACGAGGCGCCTTGCCATGAATCTTCCTACGGCGACAAAGGATTTGTCAGAATCACTGCGAAAATCGTACAAAGAAACTACTGTCGAGATTATCCGCCCGATTTTCAGTCTGTTAGATCAAAGTTATTTCCAATATATACCGCGCGTATCTCCGCGCAGTTACGAACTGCTTCATAAATATACACGGGGCCGAATGCAGGGCCAAACGCGGGCTCTCTAAATTACTTTTACATCGTACGCTTTGGAACGAACGCTTCCAACCAGCTGACAGAGAAATAACGCCCGACCTGGTCGACAAAAAGTTTCGAAATCCCTTTGAAGTTACGGGACACGGGGAGTTTTTCGGCGAGTAACAGCGCAATGGAAACTCCGCTACTTCGGATGTACACCGAAACGCGTGAACCCCTAAACGAGTTTCTCCGGGAGAGAGTAGAACTCCGCCGTCATTCGCCACCCTTGTTTCCCATCTCGTCGGCGCATCTTCGCGCGAGTATGGGCGACTGGGGGACGCCCAGCGACAAGTTCTATTAATTAAAGACTAAGTAATGCGTACTACAAGTACGCTCTTTCTACGTTTTAAATTGCTCCTTGTTACGCTATACTGCGAGCTGGCATATAATTTGAAGAGAACAACTTACCGCTCCGCTGCAGGTGGTGGATCCACGTTGCGTGCGTTGCGCAGCTCCTGCAAACAGAAAGAGAGAGAGAGAGGAGCATATTAGTAATGTCCGATGTATGAAACTACCATTTGTAGAACTATAATGCAGTGAGTTGGTACACGCGAAACGACAGAAACTTCCTATTCTACGCAATAACGACAGTTGAAATTAACACTCGTTTAGCTCGCTATTTTAGAAGCGATGTTAAAATATAATTGTCGAGCGTATAAAATAACGTTAGAAACGGTTTAATGCTTTCTATGCAATAGAGTAAAATCATGCAGCAAGTGGGAACATTTGTTAAATTTATGAAGAACGACGAGACTACCGCGACATGGAAAAAAATCGATTATATAATAAATTATAAAAATGGACTAAAGTCTCCTCTTTCAATTATTTTCAAACTAAAATATAAATTTTCCATTCTACATAGCACATCGTATACAAATGTCTAATATTTTAATATTAAAAAATTGTTTATCTTGCTTTAAAATTAAAACTTATTATTTTTCTCCTTTTTTATGGCTATTCACAGAGGCATCTGTGTTTTATTTAACTTTGTAAAGAACGGATAAAAGATGGCACATTAGGGACTGGGTTAGTCGTGTTATGTGGTCCTACAAGCTAGATAAATTAAAAAAAAAAAAAGTCGTTTCGCCGCCGTGCATTATAGTGTACTATCTACATTTAATCCTAAATTTTCATCGTGCTGCTTCGCGCTCGGTCGGGTGTGAGCAGAAATTCTTATTAAACATCCAGGATTCTAGTGAACACAGGCGAAAAATCGCGTACGAACGCGGAACGGATGTGTTTACGATCCCGCCGAGATTTTCCTCGATGGGACTCACTGTTGACGCAGCGCGGTTGACATTCGGCTTTCGCCGGGGAAAAGAGACCCGACGTGAGAATTGCCCGTGTAAACAAGACCGGGTTTGTCGAAAGCGAAGGAGAACCGCAGGTGTGGAGTTCGTAAAACGAGGACGACGAAGATGCGACGTGGTCGCATACGGCAAAAAAACACGCGCTCCCCTAGCAACACTTCGAGTGTGTCCTTGTAGTCGCGAATGGAATAAGTAATGCGAACCGCGACAGGAGATTTAGCGTGGAGCTTCTTCTTCGTATACAACCTCATTACGTGTCGGAGACGTATTTTTGGGGCTGAGCTGGTGTAACAACGCCGTAAATTGCGGCAATCGCTCAGTTACTTAAAATATATCCTTCGCAATAAAGAGAACAAAGTTTTCATTTACAATTCTTATTTAATTTCATAAATAAAACATGTACATGTGCAATAAATTGCTTTTCTTTATTTTAATTTCGACTATTTAAACATTCGAACGTAAAATATTTACATCCAAATTACTGAAAAATTTTAAACGACGCAGAAAACGACATTTTACACAGATTTATTGCTCTTTAATGGCGTTTTCGATTGAATGCGCCCTTTTTCAGTTTTCTATATTCGATTAGCTTGTCCTCCACTAGTGTAGGGCGCCATATGACCAACCATTACGTTTAACGCGGAACGCGTTTTTAGTGACACTGATACGAGATGCTGGTGCATCTCAATCAAAAACGCCATAAATCTCTTTATTGCTGCGCTAAGTAATATGAATATTTCTATGCTCGCAATTGCGAGTGAATGTCTAAATATGAAAAATAACTCGGCATCTATACCTGTATTAAACCAGTCCCTCCACTATCATTAAAAAAATTAACATTTTTAGCGATAAATTACTTACCACAACGTTGTTCTGCCGGCGCCCGATGCTCCTCCTGAGCCTTCTCCTCCTCTCAGTAGTCCTTCGA